TCCCCTTCTTCCTCTCTTCCTCGCCCCCTCCTTCCTCTCTCTCACTCTCTCTTTCCCTCTCTTCCTCTCTCCCCTTCCCTCCCTCTTTCCTCTCCTCCCTCCCTCTTCTTTTCTCTCTTCTCTCTTCTTTCTCTTCTGTCCTCTCTCTCCTTTCTCCCCCCCACCTCCCTCCCTCTCCCTCTCTTCCTCCCTCCCTCCCTCTCTCTCTCTCACTCTTTCCCTATCTCCCCCTCTCCCTCCCTCCCTCTGTCCTAGAAACAATGCTTTCGTCCTCGGTTTATACCTGGGCATTGTGTCTGGCGATGTGGCACAGTGCCTTGTATCTTGAGAAGCTTTTAAGGGGGTCTTCTGCAATAGGTTGGCCTCTGGCAAAGGGCAGGGGCTGCTGTGGAAATTGGAGGAGCGCTGCCAAGCCTGGGCAAACAAACCTTTGGGTTAATAGGGTTTGAAAATCATCCTTCTCCCACACTCGGTCCAATCTTTTACCTCCGGTCCTCAAACTGCTCTTGACTTACCAAGCTCAGGAGTGGGCAAAATGTATGGGATTCATTGTAGGCTTCAGGGAACTTCCATTACTCTGAGGATTAGAAATCAAGGAATTGGGGGTAGGCAGTGTGGGGAGGAAGACTGGGCAGAAAGACCAGGAGGGACAAGAGGCAACCCGGACCTCCAGGTGCCATGCAAAGCTGCCCGTTTTGTCCACCTGATCTTGGCCTGCTCTTCACCAGAGGAGGCCCTTTAAAAGTATGAGTTTGCCTAGAAGTGGCTTCCTTCGAAACGTAGCAGAGCCTGGAGAGTCTTCAGTTCTTCCCCCAAAAATGAATCTGGAGCAGACAAGGACCAATGATGTCATCATTCAACTTGTCCGAAACTTAGCATGGATCTTTCCTCTAGATCCCAGAGAGCAAATCGTGGGCCGTTGCCTGGAAAATTTAGCTACTCTGAGGCTCTGTTCTCGTTGCATCGTCTCTGAGGTCAGCAAAGACCTGGTAGCTTTGTGCGCATAGTACCCAGATTAAAATTAACTTTGATTAGGGTATTTTTTTTTGGGGGGGGGGGTTCAGCCCGTTCTGCAAACCCAGCCTGTTGCATGAGTGCATGGCTCACGGTGTTGGGGTTCGCCGGCAGCTGGTGCAGACGGCAGCAGAATCGGACAGTGGGGAAGAAAGGGGACCAGTCTGGGAGTCTGGAGAGGACTCGGACGAGGGTCCGGCATCCAATGCAGAGATGGGGCCAGGACCATCTGGGAGTGGGGTGCTGCCTCCAGAGCCTTTGGAGTCTGGCAGCAGCGAGGCAGAGGAACAGCGGGAGCCTGTTCCCAGTGCGCGTGTGCACAGAGCTGCTAGCAGGCGAGACCAGCTGGAACAAAAAGGGTGACTCGGGAGTAAGGCTGGGAGGTGATTGCCCCTCCCCTAAGGGATAAAGGACAGGCAAAGATGATGAAACCTTTGCAGGAAGCAAAGTCGTTCATTTGGTTCAGACTCATTCTTGAAGCTCTTTGTACTTCGGTTGGTTTTCTATCTAGTTCATTTGACACTTCTGTTATTGGCAGCACTTCACAGGAAAGCAAGGTGGGTGCTTATCTCGAGGGACTGTTTTGAGATTCAGTACTGGCTGGGAATGAAAATAATTCCCAGCGTTGCAATAACACAAGACTTGTTTTTTAAAATAAGCGTGTGCGTAATTACGGTCTCGGAAGCCTTGGTCACAACACATGGCAAGTACAAACCCAGAGAGCCCAGGAGCCAAGCTAAGCCGAGCCAGCCAGCCCTTTTCATCTCTCATCCTTTCTCGTCCTTCACGATTCTTTGTGGTCCCCTCCGTGGATGCCGCCATCTTCTCCGTTGATTCTGATAGTTTGTTATCGGTGTTTTTAATACCAACACAGGAAGGTTTAAAAAAAAAGGAGGGGAGGCAGAAATAGTAATCTTGTTTTTGATTTTCCTAGGGTGAAATTGGCCCTCCTGGTCCACGGGGCGAGGATGGGCCAGAAGGCCCAAAAGGCCGTGGCGGCCCCAATGGAGAACCAGGCCCAATAGGTCCACCTGGAGAAAAGGTTGGTGTTCCTGATGCTCTCCATCCTTCCTCAACCTCAATGCCTCATCCAGCTTTCCCTTAGCTGTGGAATCTTGCTCAGGTTTGGGTTACTGGCTCTGGATCCATCTGCAGGCTTGCCCCAGTACAAGGATGATGCAAATGGAAGCTTGCTTGGTGACACCATCCCTTGTGGCTTTAAGATGGAAATGTAATGCCAGATCTGGAAGGTGCCTCGGGGTTTTAGGGATGAATTGATATTCCTTTCAGCCATTTCTGTTTGCTAAATCATGCCATTAACTTTAGAATAGAATAGAAATAGAAATAGGATAGGATAATAGAATAGAGATAGGATAGGGATAGGATAGAATAGAGATAGGATAGGGATAGGATAAGATAATAGAAGAGTAGTGTAGGATAGGATAGGATAGGATAATAGGATAGAATAAGGGATAGAATAAGGGATAGAATATAATAAATTGAATAGGAATAGGAAGGAATAGAATAAAATAGAATAGAATAGAATAGAATAGAATAGAATAGAATAGAATAGAATAGAATAAGGGATAGAATAGAATAGAATAAAAAGAATAGGAATAGGAATAGAATAATTAGAATAGAATAGAATAGAATAGAAAATAGAATAGAATAGAATGAAATAGAATAGAATTCTTTATTGGCCAAGTGTGATTGGACACACAAGGAATTTATCTTTGGTGCAGGAACTCTCAGGGTACATAAAAACGATAAGTAATAAAGCATAAACTTCAGTGATGACTCTTCAGAAACAACGTCCTGCTTTTTCTCCATCTTCCTTCTCTTCCATCCTCATCCTCCATCCTCTTCCTCCGTTTGTTTTCACAGGGGAAGCTTGGCATTCCGGGCCTGCCTGGATACCCTGGAAGACTTGGCCCCAAGGTAACGTTTGCCCTTTTCGTAAACAGATTTCCATTTCAGTGTGCGAGTTAGAACCACGTGAGTTGCCGGTCGAGTTTACCGAGACTCTGTGCAACCAGCCAGGAGGAATGGGAAGGCGTTGTGTGCTTTTGCCGTGTGAAGTAGGCCGGGGAGGCCAAGATTAGGGAGCAAGGCAGATTGGTCTATGCAGAGTCCCTGTCCATCGTTATTCTGGCAGCAACTTCTGATCTGCAATTTGAATTTGCTGGGGGGGTGGGGGTGGGAATTGCACTCCGAGTTACTGTTAGTCATTTAAAAGAACTAAAAAGATTTTTTTTTCTCCTTTGCTGAGCAGAAAAGAGGCTTTGCTCCAAGGACAGTCAGCTAGACCCCAGTTTGTGGAAACCTTAAACCCCACTGGTGGGTAAAAGGCCCCATCATCCACGTAGGGACTGACCCTGCAACCCCTGACCCTCAGCCTTTGTTCAGCAGCATGGGCATTGGTCTGTGCCCAGGCACATGGGCAGCATTCTTGCGTTCCTTTGCCGGTTTCTCAGCTGCTCTCACCATTCCCTCTGGGTTAGCCTGGCAAAGTGGGACGGCCCAGAACTGACAGCCAATAATCTCCCCCCTGTCAACTCATAAAGCATATTGTATACACGTTTTATAGTTGACCACAGAAAGAAGGGGGGGAGTTTTAAAGAGCAGGCGGCAGTGTGGAATCGAAAGGACATTCCGTTCATATTTTCTTCAGAGACTGATTAGATGACTGAAGCTTCTGCTGCGCAAAAATCTAATTGGAGAGCATGATTGATGACTCTTGGCTATGGGCGTGTTTCGTTGGATGATACACCCAGAGGGGGTGGGGGAAAAAGCAGGATCAAGGGTGACAGTGAATTATGTATCTCTAGAGTTGGCCACACCCAGGCAAATGCTGGCCTGTTAACTTCTAATAAATCCTTTGAAGTTTTGGGAGTGGGGCTCGAGGCTCATGATATAATTGGAGTAATTGCCGGAATCCTGACACCCCCTCCCCACCAATTCCCCCCCCCCCCAAGGTAGTCCTGCAATCAGTGCAAAGGAGGCCACGTTAGGCATGGCGCTCCAGTTCAATGGTGGGCTGCTGCCAGTTCAGACCAGCTCACCTGTACAGGTAGTTCTGGCCACTGGCTGGGCCCGCCCCTGTGCTATCCCATCCTATATATCTGGCTTGCTCACTTCACCCCTGCAGCCCAGCTGATTTTCGCACCTTGCCTGCACCTTGCCTTCACCATAGTTGCCACACGCAGGAAATCCCTGTGTTTTTGCAGCCGTGCACGAAGACGGCGTGCGCATGCATGCTCCCCTTTCCGGTTCTGCAGTAGGCGAACCGGTTGTTTACAGTACGTGAAGTCCAGTCAGGTGGGCTCTTTCCTTGACAGCATCGCCATTTGACAGGAAGGTAAGCATCAGATGCAACTGTGGCTCCCAAATTAGGAGAGCCTGATCCAGCTCCATTTCATACTCTCCCCACACTCTCCTGGAAGGGAAGTATAGGGAACCCCCTATGAAACCCAAGGCTGCCCCTTTGAGATGGTTGCCACAGAAACCGCAGACCGTGTTCTTTGGCACTGCCAGTACTACAGTAGTTTATGAGCCGTGATGGCGCAGTGGTCAGAGTGCAGTACTGCAGGCCACTTCTGCTGACTGCTGGCTGCAGTTCAGCAGTTCGAATCTCACCAGGCTTCCAGGTTGACTTGGCCTCCCATCCTTCCGAGGTGGGTATAATGAGGACCCAGATTGTTGGGGGCAACAGGCTGACTCGGTAAACCGCTTAGAGGGGGCTGTAAAAGCACTGTGAAGCGGTATATAAGTCTAAGGGCTGTTGCTATTTTCCTGCTTCTCAGTTTGCCACACTGTATATGAGGGGGGGGGGGGGAAGGAGGTCAGAACTCATTTCCAGACACAACACCAATCTTTCTCATGGGAACCAAGGTCATCCCCGCCTAAGAAGCCCGCCAGTTGACTTTATTGGACAACGTGACTGGTGACACTTAAGGAGGGGGACATATGCTATTTTAATTATAATTATTATTAATTAATTATATTTTTAGAGTAGGTTTTGCATTTAGGTGAGCCGATATGATGTACCCAATAAAGAAGTCCTTTAAGGAAGAATCCATCCTTGGAGTTCTGATTTGCTTGGGCTCATTAGTCGGAAATTTGACCGGAATTTAATGTTGTTCAATTTATGGGATGTACTTTTATTGGTCAATGACTGAATTAATGTTTCTGTCCATCTGTCTGTCTGTCTGTCTGGCAGCTGGGTGGGAGAGGCAGGGTAAGTGTTTTCCCCAGAGCCCTTCAGCCCCCTACCAGGCCCTGAGGGCTTCGGAGGGGTTGCCTTTCTTGTGCTTCTGTGCTCTTTTTAAGGAAGGAGGGAAATGTTTCCCCAAATAGGTGGCATAGATGGGCAAGAGGTGGCATTGGACTCTGAGGTGAATCATCGAGCATCGTGCAACCTCTCTTGGATACCAGGCTAAACGTACTCATTTTAAAGCTTCCCTTTGGAGACGCTTCACTCAAGCCAGAATCTCTGAGTTCACCCATGTAGAAAAACTGAGGGAAGGCATCATAAAAGCTCCTCTCAGTAAGAAGATATGCTGGTGTGAAGCAGGTTCACCAGCCACAGGCTTCAGGGGATGGAAGAGCAAAGCAACCACCATGGGCAAGTCCTGACCTTCTCAGGACAGAGTCCTTTTGCTGCCCATATCATCCCTCCTGCCCTGGACTTCCGTTGCCTGGTGCGGGGAATCCTCCCTTGGTACCCAACCATCCTGGTGCCAAAGTTATAGCAATGCGAACCCTTGCATCCCCTTCTGCCTCACTGATTCTCCATACATGGCTGTGAGGCCATTCATTGTGGGAAATTGCTAGCAAGGCAGATCTATAACGTAAGGGCCCAGTTTGCATGATGAACTGCTTCATTGGAGCAAGCGTCGTGAGCCTCGGTGGCCCAGTGGTTAGAGTGCAGCACTGCAAGCTCCTCCTACTGCAATTTGGCAGATCGAATCCCACCAGGCTCAAGGTTGACTCAGCCTTCCATCCTTCTGAGGTGGGTAAAATGGGGAGCCAGGTTGTTGGGGGCAACAGGCTGGCTCTGATATGCACTATAAAGTGGTATATTAGTCTAAGGGCTATTGCTATTTTCTCTTCTTAAATAGAAGGGAGGAAGAGGAGGAAGAGGAAGAACTCCTTATCCATTGACTAAGGTGTCAGGATTCCGGCAGTTGCCCCCAATTAAATCATGAGTCTCGAGCCAAACTTCCAAAACTTCAAAAGGATTTATTGGGAGTTAACATGTCCGGCACTGCCTGGGTATAGCCGACTCTGAGACACATCATTCATTGTCACCCTTGACCCGGGTTTCCCCCCACTCCCTGGGTGTAACATAATTCATATTCTCCAATGAGACACATCCATAGCCAAGAGTCATCAATCATGTTCTCCAGTTAGATATTTGTGCGGCATAAACTTCAGTCACCTAGTTACTATCTTTGAAAAACTATTTATGGAATGCACTTTCAATTTCCAAGCTGCCACACTGCTCTTTCAAACCCCTTTCCCCCCCCCTCCCTTTCTGTTGGCAACTCTTAAAGAAATATTTTATGAATTAACACAAGGCTCATCTCAGGGTCCCTCTGACACAGAGAGAGACAAAGTCACCAAGCCCAAAGCCACTAATGGCCATCGACTCCCTCTCACGCCCAACCTTCTGCAGAAGGACCTGGCTATCACCTTCATTTCTTCTCCAATCCAAGCCTGGCTACACAAACCATCCCCAAAGGCTCAATGGCAGGGTCGGCCATCCACACCCCCACCATCTCTACTGCCACTTGTCTGTAAGGGAGAGTGGACAATTTGGCCTGCAGACTCCAGGGGATGGAAGGAAGGCTGGACATCGAGGTATTCCTTCCTTCCTTCCAGGCACGAGGTTCACTAGCTAAGGATGACGGTTGTTTAATCTGGGAGTTCTAGCTAAAGAGCTAGCCACGGTCCCAGGGCACTGAGCTCTCCAGCTGTCCCGTTGCTGGTGCTGTCATGTCCTCTCCAGCTGCGTCTTCATCTCCTTTCTCCTCTGCTTCCTTTTCCTCTAGGGTTCCATTGGATTTCCGGGGTTCCTGGGAGCCAACGGAGAGAAAGGAGGAAGGGTAAGAGCCGGGTTTTGTCTGGGGCTTCTGGGAGATCTCTTCCACGGACCGTTGCTCTCTCTGGGGTGCACATTTTTCTGCAATGATTATTTATGCTACGGAGAAGTTTGGGCACGGCATAGATTTGCCCCCACCGAACAAAACCCAACAAGAAGCAACACAACACGAAGCAACACAACGCTTCTTTAACTAAAACACCTCTTTCTTCTGGCTAATATTTCAAAAGGGAAAAAGGGACATAACTCCCTGTCCCAGGGAGGTGGGCAGAGGTGGGACACCAATATTTTTGCTACTGGTTCTGTGGGCGTGGCTCGGTGGGCGTGGTCATGTGGCTGGGTGGGCGTGGCTTTTGTGCAGCTGCACTCCCCCTGCGCTCCATTTTTTTTTGGCCTCCTGGGCCTCAAGGAAGCTTCCTGGGTGAGGGGATCCCAGCACAGCTGATCATCAGAACAGCTGATCGTTGGGAGGAAGAAGAAAAAAGAAATAACCGTAAGGAGGGACCGGGCAGGGCGGGCGGGGGAGAATGCAGTCAGCGATGTCACGTGTGCACGATAAGGAGGGGCCGGGCGGGGAGGGGAGGAGCCAGCCAGGGGCACCATTTGCCGGTGCTCCAAACTGCGCAGAATCATAACAGCTGGTTCTACGGAACCGGTCCGAACTGGTAGAATTCCACTCCTGCACAAGGGTCTGCAGAAGGTCTCCGAAGCTTGATGGCAGAGGCCATCCCACCTGGAATTCCCACCCATAAAGTAGACCCAGATTCCGCTCCAGAATCTCAGTAGCCGCTCCCTTTTTTCCTTTCTCTTTAACTCCTGCAATAAAAATAACTTATTTTGGTGCGTCAGAATGAATCCATGTCAGAATCTGCCGGAGGGGCACAGAATGGAGGGATATCTGACCAAATTTGCAATACCAGATAGGTTTGTTCCAGAATATTAACAACTTTGAAAGGAAAAAAGGAGAAGAAAGTAAGAAGATGTTCAGAATAAGGTCATGTTTCATCAGTGCCCTTGGGGCTGGCAGAGCGGAGGGTGTAAGAATGATAACAAGGTGCAACCCAACTGGCCACTTCTGGCGGCTTCGGGAAGGGATTTTGTGTCCCCAGTCCTTTAAGCATGACTTTGAGCATATTTCTGGCAATTAGAGAAGATCAGTCAGAATCAGAATCGAGTGGAGCAGTGGCCTACAAGTACGGCTCCCACCTCACAATCAGGAGGCTGTGAGTTCGATCCTAGGTAGAGGCAGATATTTCTCTCTCTGGGCCCAATGAGAATAGATCTGCTGTGAATTCCGCATTGGTGACAGGAAGGGCATCCGGCCAGTAAACACTCAGCTCTATTCAGTTGCCCCAACTCCACTCCACAAGAGATTACAGGGTCATTAAATGCCAGAAAACAACAGAATCAGAATAATAGAGTTGAATTCCAGAATGGTGGCTGTCCATTCTCTTCTCGTAAACCGTCCAGTTATGAAGAGACCCACCACTTCTGGAGGGAAGCCATTCTTATCAACCAAGACCAAAGGCTTCAGCAAGCTGCTTGCACAATGAACTGCAGAGCAAATCCAAGTTCTGACAGTGAATATTCGGTTAGGGGAAGAGCAGGAAGAGCAGCATCCAAGTTCCTTTTGTTCATCTCATTTAAATACAGATTGCTTCTAACGGGCCTGCTCGGCAGGGCTGCTGGAGATGGAAATAGTTTTTCAGCATGTTAATTGTTTTGCTGCCTCGATTCCATGGACAGAGCTTGAGAAGAGAAGGAACAAGGCTGTGTTTTCCTTCTTTCATCCCCCCTATATATTTTTTTCCTGCTGCATAGTTTTGATTTCTTGAACACGAGCAATGCGGGTTCCCTCCCTCCCGATGGTTGTGAAGGCGCATATGGGGAGGGGGAGGATATTGGGGGATGGGCTGCAGCCAAGCCAACATGAAGTGATCGGTCTGACGGAGGGGTTAGGTAGGATCCTGGCTGTGGGGCAGGCCAAAGATTCAGGAAGTGGTCCCACCCGGTCGGCCGCGTCAGAGTGACAGAGCTACTGAATAAAAGGCCAGAAAACTGGAATGAAGTTTAGGGCTGGCTTGGTCTGGTACTGTGATGGTGAACCTATGGCACGCAGAGCCACCTCTCCGAGCACGCCAGCCGTTGCCCATTGCTCTTAGTTTAATTTAGTTTACTTGATTGTCATTGCACCTCATACCACGAAATTAAATGCCATCTTCAGTGTACATTATGACTCCACACATTGAACTGAAAACCCCTGATATTGCATTAATATTGCCCTATACAGCAGAATTCAACAGAGCTCCTGCCCTGGGATAGAAGCTGTTTTTCAGCCTATTTGTGCTTGTTTTTATTATTATCCTGTACCGTCTGCCAGATGGTAATAATTCAAAAAAAGGTTTCCCAGGATGAGATGGATCTTTGAGGATGTTTTGAACTTTCTTAAGGCAGCGGGAGCTCTAAAGCTCTTCCAAAGAGGGGAGAAGGCAACCAGTGATCCCCTAGGCAATGACATTAACCCTCTGGAGTGCTTTCCTATCTGCCCCTGTGCAAGTGGCAAACCCTGCACAGGTGCAGTAAGTTAAGATACTCTCTACGGTGCAGCGGTAGAAAGTCACCAGCATTTTTTCATTCCGTTGTTGTTTCCTGAGAAGCCTCAGGTGGCATAATCTCTGCTGGGTCCTCTTCCGGGTTCCGGCGTGCGCATGAGAGCTGGCCATGCACGAGTGCCGGAAATCAGAAGAGCAGGTTGTCAGCACACATGTGCACGCCGGGAAGCTGAGCTTCCGGTTTCCAGCATGCACATGCTGCCAGCCAGCTGTTCTTTGCATGCGCAGGTGCACCAGAAACCGGAAGACCAGGTGGCACATGCACACATACCCTCCCCCCCGGGGATCTGCTCTTCTGGTTTCCGGTGCTGCCCCTCTGCCTGCACATGCTGCCGCTTCGGCACGCGGTGCCGAAAAGGTTCACCAACATTGGTCTAGTACCTCAACTTACAGCAGTTTGTTTAGTGACCATTCAAAGTTAACAACAGCACTGAAAAAATGTGACTTACGGCCATGTTTTCCCACAGTTGCAACCTTAGCAGCTTCCCATGATCAGAGGTTTGGCCACCAGTTCACATTTATGACCGTTGCAGTGTCCCAAGATCACTTGATTCCCTTTTGACAAGCAACATCAATGGTGGAAGCCAGATTCACTTAACAAGAACAAGAAAAGTCACAAAATCGGACAAAGCTCACTGAACAAATGTCTCACTTAGCAAGAGGAATGTTTGGCTCCATTGTGGTCATAAAGCGAGGAGCTACCTATAGTTAAGGCACTGGATTAGCTCAGTTCTAGTCCTGTCTTAGGCAGGTTCCCAGCCCCTTTTTCTCTCTGTTCGCAGGGCACCTCTGGCAAACCGGGACCAAGAGGACAACGAGGGCCCACGGTAAGAACTATTTCATCTTCCTCTTCCTCCTCCTCCTCCTCCTCCTCCTCCTCCTCCTCCTCCTCCTCACTCCAGAATCATGTCGATGGCTGCAGTCGGGGGTAGGGGGGACAGACCCAAAGATGCATAAGTCACTTTTTAAAGAGGACCTGCCCACTTCAAATTCCCGACTCTTCACAGAATGCAGAAATGGCACACGTAGCTACGAAGTGAGTTCCATGCCCTTCCCAAAGTTGGCAGTTGTACAACCTCAAGGAATTAGGAGAAGGCATATTGGGTTGACGTGAGCAGAAAATTGCCTACAAAAATAGAAGAATAACAGTGTTGTGGGGGTCCATCTAGTCCAACTCCCCCGCCCAAGCAGGAGACCCTACCCCATTTCTGACCCATGGCAGTCCAGCCTCTTCTGGAAAGCTTTAGCCCAGATTTAACAGATTAACAAGAGTTGGAAGGGACCTTGGAGGTCATCTACTCCACCCCCCCCCCCCCGCCCAAGCAGGAGACTCTACACACCATTTCTGACAGGTGGCAGCCCAGTCTCTTCTTCCAGGGATGAAGCCCCCACAACTTCTGAAGGCAACTCCTGTTCCATGGGTAGATGAGTTACACTTTTCCCATCTTGACATGCATGAAAATGTATTCAAAGTTAGACACATAAGCCGAATGTCTCCTGAGACAGAGGGAGACCAAAGGAACGTCAGGCTGTCGAAGGCATCCCGTTTCCTCCTCCTTCCACCCTGATGTCTCCTTCTCCTTGTCTCTTTGTCTCAAGGGCCCCCGAGGAGAACGCGGCCAGCGAGGCATCACAGGGAAACCCGGTCCAAAGGTACCGAAACGCCTTCCTCAACCCTCTCTTCCCGGGGCCACTTCAGTGCTGGGGCCAGTCCTGAACCTCCCTTTGCGTGCAGAAGGAGATTGAGGGAGGGTGACGCAGCTTGGAGAACGTGACTGTAGGGGCTTCAGCAAATCTTGAGCAACCTGTTCTCTGCCTGGTTGTTGGGTGGACATGGCCATGGTGGTGTGGCCTAGTCGGCCTCCTGCACCACAGTGGAGGGGGGCATTTTTGCCCTCCCCGTGCTCCGGAGGTTTTCCTTGAGCCTCCGGGAGGGCGAAAATGGGCTCCACAGGCTCCGGAGCCTCCGGGAGACCCATTTTTCGCCTCTGCACTTACATGGGATCCAAAACGGGCCACCTGGGCACTCCTGGGAGGGGGGGAGGGGGGACCAGCCAGTCGTTGCCATTACTGGTTCAGCGAACCAGATGTAAAATGAACATCCAGTTCAGCTGAACCAGTGCAAACTGGGAGCAGTTCACCACTGTGTGGTCGTTCCCCCCCCCCGTCCCCCCCAGTTGCCAGTCACTTTGGCTTGGCTTGTAAGGATTTGTAAGTATTGTAAGTATAAGAATCACTTGGAGACCCGCAGAAGAGAAGAGAAAGAACTGGGAGAAACTACAAAATACAAAGACCTTCGAGTAGAACGACTGTGACAAATACTAATACTAATACTATTGGTATTGGTAGTAACATGTGCATGCAATTGGGTGCAATCCCCAAACATCAGGAGCGCCACTGGAATGCCATGGACATTGATAAAAGCCCCATCGGTCAATTGCAAAAGGCAGCTTTGCTCAGTAGAGGTTACATCCTCCAACAATACTTTTAATGTCATCAAGGAATACTTGCCTATCCCAGGGCCTTTGGAAGGATAATTGGATAAAAGGCCAACTCCGGTCTAAACATTTGGCTGACTGTGCAACCGACCATAACTTATTAAATTTATATGTTGCCCGACACACAGTGATTCCCATGCACATCAGGGTGCCATGTTTATGCAATTACCGGGTCTTGGCAGAGACGTTAATGATAGTATATAGAATAACAAAATTGGAAGGGATCTTAGAGGTCATCTAGTCCAGCCCCCTTCTCAAGAGGGAGAACCTATACTATTTCAGACAAGTGACTGTCCAGTCTCTTCTTTAAAACCTCCAGTGATGGAGCGCCCACGATTTCTGGTGGCAAGCTGTTCCACTGGATAATTGTCCTCACTGTTAGGAAACCTCTCCTTAATTCAAGGTTCCTTCTCTCTTGGATTAGTTTCCATCCGTTGTTTCTTATCTTGCCTTCTGGTGCTTTGGAGAATAAGTTGAGCCCCTCTTCTCTAGAGGACGTCTACATGGCAATAGGTCTTCTCCAGTCCTAGACAGCTGGGCTCCCTTTCCTGATTTGAAGATCCCAGGAGATGGATGGATGGATAGATGGATGGATAGAGATTGATATAAGAGATATAGAGATAGATAGATAGATAGATAGATAGATAGATAGATAGATAGATAGATAGATAGAGATTGAAATAAGAGATATAGAGATAGATAGATAGATAGA